AGAAATGTGCTTTTCTGCACCAGTATTGCAATATTAAGAGTTTCTGAAAAGCCTCTTGTTCGCTGCATTTGTAGAAGGGTAAGATGAAGGAAGCCGCACAGCGCTACCAGTACGCCCTGAGGAAGTTTCCGAGGGAAGGGTTTGGAGAAGAAATGAAGGCGTTCAATGAGCTGAGAGTTTCATTGTACCTGAATTTATCACGATGTCGCCGAAAAACAAACGTAAGCTCTTGCTGTCAATCTGTTGCCTCTCTGGCATTGGGAATCTCAGATTTCCGTTCTGCCACATTACTGCGTTTGTACGTGGACGTCTGTTTTTTGCTGGTTTAGAATCCTTTTCACTGTATCCTGATTTTGGGCCTTGTGGTGTCAACAAATGGGGACAGTCCATAAGATGAGGGGGCATGTTGCATGGGGGACCTATTACAGCTGTTCTGGTCTAATCCAGTTATTTTGGAACTTTTGGGTTTGGTACTTTAAAAAGACTAAATGGAAAGTGCCACCACCACTACCCTGTGTTACCATACAGCAAAACCTACTAAATGCTATTCTAAAAGTTTCACATCCCCTATCGAAGCACGCTCTGGACTAGTCCAACCCATTTTCTCATTTTTCTTGTTCTTTACATCCCTAGGTCTTTAACTGGCCTTTTTTTTCAAAACACATTCTGAAGCCTTGCTGTCCGAGGTGGTCATTATCTATCTTGTTAAACATGCAGCGCCGTCTAGCGTTTTAACATCTTTGGGTTGAAAATAAACATTCCTTACCTGTATTAGCATTGCTCTTCAGCCAGCTTGGAGTCAGTTTCCCTCAGACACGAGAGACAAGGTTAGCAAGATGAGTCTGTGCCCAGTCATTCAGGAAATACCTGCTGTATAAGCTAGCTGCAGTTTTGAAGCAGCCCCATGAGCAAAGCGCATGCAGCTTTCTTTCACTGTCAACGTATAGTGAGTCCATGTGTTTAAATTACCAGGACTTCGGTATGGCTGAGGAGTTTGCTACCAAAGCGTTGGATCTGAAACCCAAGTCTTACGAAGCCTATTATGCTAGAGCACGAGCCAAGCGGAACAGCAGGTACTGTTTGATTCTGTGCATCTGTCTGCACAGATGTTTTTAACTTCCTAACACTTCAGTAACTTTTTTTCTTTTCTTTCTGCTAGTCGTATTTGGAATTTGCAAAGAAAAAGTTACTTTCCTTGTGCACTTTCCATCTGTATTAGGTCTCTGTATCTGTTAAAGCCAACCAAACCCCAAAAGCAGTATTGAATACTCTATTCAGGTAATTATCAGGCAGTCCAGAAAGGAACAAATTGATATGAAGAGGGATTATTTTACGTGTAAGAGTGAATAGGACTGCTGCTTCGTGTGACTGAGAAGAACGCTGTCAGCAGTGTGCCACAAACTCCAGCACCACGTTAGTTATTACCGAGAGCAACTGGGTGCTTTACAGGACAGGGTGTGTTGAATCATCAGCAGTTCAAGGTGGAAACAAGGGGAGAGGGAGGAACCATTTCTTCAAGCTGGCAAAATACCAGACTGTAGTGGTATAGTTGAAGTGGAGGGAGAGGTGCCTTCTTGATTCACCATGGCTTTTCTAAGCAGAACAATAAATGGTCACCAAGCACAGTTCAGCAAGTCACCCACTCTGAGGGTAACAGTAAAGGGCTTGTGAGGCAAAGCGTCAGTTCCTAGTGCTATCAGCTGTCTGCCTGAAAAAGCTGCTACTACAGGGGGAAGGGTTTGGGGCTGGGTTTGCGCTTTCACTGTAGGAAAGAATTTCCTGGGTTGGGGAATGTCCAGTCCTGACATTGTCACCACCTGCAGCAGGAGATGACAAATCAGACTATTTCTCTGAAAGTGGTGGAGGTGGATTAGTAGTGGGCAATGCTGAGACTCAGATCTGCCCCAGGTTTTTAAGCAGCTTGCCTTTTCTTTTTTTTCCTTCCTAAACAGGAAACTACTTGCTGCTCTTGCTGACTTGCGTGAAGCCACACAGCTGTGTCCTAGCAATCAAGAGATAAAACGTCTCCTGGCTCGAGTAGAAGAGGAATGCAAACAGTTCCAGAAAACACAGCAACAGAAGCATCAGTCTCCACAGCTACTACAGCAAATTAACAACTCTGATAACGAGGAGGAGGCCATTATACAAGGTGTGAATGATAATTTTCATCTTCAAGAGGAGGATGAGCTGCCACAGCCCGACGAATCCATTGCCTCTCCACAAAGGCTGCAGCATTCCTTAGCTGCTTCATCGTACAGCAGGACCCTTCAAGAAGGCGTTCAGCAGAAAGGTAGATCTGTGTCCCCTCAAAGCAGAACAGGCAATAAATACTTGAGAGAGCCAGGCTTGATTGTGCAGCCCACAAAGCAGGCACAGATTGTAAAAACTAATCAGCACCTGAACACCATCCAGCCTGGACCGAAAGTGGGAGGTGGTCACTGTAATACAAAGACACAGTCATCTTTTCAGCATCTTCCCCAAAGTCCCCTGCCGGGCCGGCACTCTAAAATCCAGCACATGGATGGGATAAGCACATTGTCATCTGGAAGTGCTTCCACGGGCCCTAGTTCTGAACTGTACAATGAGAAGTTTCCGTCCGGCCCCTGTTCCCACTCGCAGCATAACGAGCATCTCCCTTCTCATTCTTTCCCAAGTAAGTCTAAACCCCCAGACAGGTTCACAGCCCCTCCTCCAGCGAGTTTCAGTGAAGCAAGGCAGCAGAGTCCTGCAACCAGCAGGGTCTCCTCTGGGTCTCCATCCAGTAGTATGATTCTTGCCAGCTCAACCAGCAGCTTAACTTCAGCGGGTAGTCTTTCTGATAGCCCTAAGGGGCTAGGCCCTGACGTGCGCCTCAAGGACAACAGCATTAACAACCAAGTTCAGGGCACTGGTGCTGAGCACAGACCTCGCCATACCCCGTTTATGGGAATCATGGATAAGACTGCCAGGTTTCAGCAGCAGAGTACTCAATCCAGTCGCACTTGGCACTCGCAGGCATCGGATGGATTGTCAACGAGTGTTGCTTCTGGGGGCATTCTGTCCTCAAATTTTGAGCAGTTCTCAGTCAAACACTACCAAACTAAACTGTCCTCTGCCAGTGCTGCCCCAGGAGAGAGCAACCAGAATGGCGTACAAGCTAAAGAACGCGAGGAGTTTAAGTGCCAAACGTCCACCCACTGTCAAGACAACAGAGCACCGAACCAAGCCTCGCGTTTATACCCAGCTGCTGCGTCACACCAGCAGTCGCAGGTCGGTAAGGAAGGCCACTTAAGTCATGTCACGTCTACAAAACCAAAGCGCTCGTTCATTGAATCAAATGTATAAATACTGTTTGGTGTCTTTATGGGGTTGTACAACTTGGCTCCCTCATCGTAGGGTGTTACTGCTACACGAACACGGACTGGCCAGTACTCAATGGGATGCAACCACTTTAAACTGTTCCCACCATCACAGGGCAGTTACAGTAACTGGAACAGCAGATTTGTGTAGAAACAGTCAATTAGAACGATCACTCCACCAGAACAGGACCTCAAGCAGAGAAACCCTGCCCATTACATTTTGCCATTAAATAAGACTTTCCTTTTACGTAGGGCTTTAATTGTGGCCTTTGGTTACATCTCACCCCTTGCATCATAATCGTGCCTCTATAATGCTTAAGTAAGTGCTTACTTCTCAGAACAGTGTTAAGAAAGATACCCGTCTGCTGCAAACTAGTCAGATCTGTATATGTATGCGTTTTTTTAAAAAATCAAAGAATTTTATCACTTTTCTAGTGGGATCTAATCTGGGTTGCATGATGTACATTTAGGAAGCATAAATAATTTGTGTATGAGTAAGCTATAAGCAGCCATGCTTTGACATGTAAATATAACTATTTTTAGTAACTAGAAGAAATCAAATAAACAGTGACATTTGCATGTGTATTGAAAGGCTTTGACCATATTGGTTATTGCACTGAAGAACACAATATTATGGCATGTTAACAATAATCGCACTTTATGTAGTTTATCTATATAACACCTTTGGGTGCTATCTTAAAGCAAAATGATTTATTGTTTGTCCAAGAAAAAAGGTACAGCAATGAAATGTTTAGTAAGTGTTTTTATGGGAAACCCAAGAAATTGATGAAGATGAAAGTTTGAGGAAAAGTGTATGTATGTGCAGTTGCACGCCAGGATGAAGTTGTGAAGGTTTTCAGAGGAAATAAGGTTTTATATTGGCAAGAACGTTCTAAAAATAAACAGCTGTATGACATTCCTACGAGTGCAATTAGGCTGGAGTGGTCAATGTTACGTGGTCACGTTTCATGTTCTTGTTCGTCTGCAGTGTTTTATGTACATTGTAAACAGCCATACCCATTTTTACAAATTCTGAGTTGGCATCATTACGCTTTAGCTTATTTATTGTTTACTGTTTCTCTGATATTTTGTACAAGTCCTATATTAGTCTTGTCCTGTAGTTCTATTTTTGCACAGCTACTGTATTTTTTCCGTACAAAATAAAGGTAATTAATATACCTGTGGGATGAGATGCAGTCACTGGTGGTTACAGGAGAAACTCTCTCTCAACTTTTCCAACTACATGCTCCATAACAGGGAACAGAGAAAGACACATTTTTGTTTCTTAAATTAGAAATAGGGATTACGTACTTTGCTATTTCTTATCTTCTGAAAGACTAACTTGGCAAGATCAAGACGCAAAACTTCTCACAAATGTAGTGAAAATTTTAAGAAAACTTTATTTGAAAAACTGAATCTGAATACTTAATTTCTTAAACAGAAATACCACGAAGTAGAATTACCAATAACTTAGAAGTTTTTCACTAATTTTCTAGGAGCTTCCAACAGTGAGGATTTTCTTTCTAGCAAATATTTACATGACAGCCACAGATTAGAACAGATCCACAATTTTTCCTTCCCAGTTGTTTCTGATACAGTTATTTCCTTTAGCTACCTACAATTTCATTTCAATTAATTTTAACAACTTCAAAACTAACTGGTTTAACTATATTTCTGCTGAGTCTCCAGCCAGCGACTGATAGCCATTTTTAGTGTCCTGTTTGGTGTGAGCAGCAGAGAGTGGAGAGGAAGATTCGTCATGGGGCTAGATCGTCTTTTATTGCTGATCCAGTTTTCCATTGCTTCCTTTTCATAGGAATAACCATCTGCAAAGAAACCATCATCAAACACTTACTTTACGGGGGCCTGGGCCCTGTTACACTACAGATTTTGGCCAGTCATAAAGGGATGTAAGGGAATCGGTATTTCCAAAAGAGCAAAAACCCCAGAAACAGTGAGGTGACAAGCCAGGAAACCACTGGCACCTGGAACAACAGCCCTTACAGGGGGACCTTTAAAAAAAGTGCCTTCAAAGAAAGAAAATCAGATGATGCTCACCAAGTTGCTGCAAATGCAGTTGCTTAGCTCAGTTCATGATGCTCAGTTCTAAATTACTCACAGACACCATGCTCGACCTTGTCGAGCCTCACCAAGCATCTGCAAGTTATATTCTCCCCACCCCAATCCTTACAGAAATGTGTCACCATGGTTGTGTTTGTTTGTTAAGGACAATGGGAACGGAAACAAAGAGTACTGAACCATCACTACCTGAAACACAGCTGGTAATAACCAGCATGTCAGTTAAAAAAACAAAACAAAACAAAAAACCAGTTAAAAGTGTGCCTAAGGGGGGGAAAGTTCTCCCTGCCAGAGGGGAAAAAAAACCAACCCAAACAAAAACAGTCCCAAAACAAAGCTGTACTTTACCAACAAAAAAAAAAAAAACATAAATGGCATATTGGTGTTAAAGTTAGTGCATGCCTTAATCACAACTTAAGCAAACATTTCCATTTAGCTGGATCTAAAGTTCTTTTGAGCAACTTCTTAAAAAAGAATTTTCACTTCAGGTACCCTTCCTAGTTAAGAAAAAAAAAAAAAAAAACAAACCACACAACACAAAAACAACACAACCCCCCAAAAAAACCCAGCCCAAAAAACATAATGAAAGGTGACCATGAACATGAACAGCTCAGGCTAGTTTCATGTTTCTGTTCTGACTGCAAAGCACCAAAATACATGCCGCCCATGTTAAATGAGACTTTCTTTCCAAGTTTGCACACTCCACCGTGTGAAGTAACAGCTCGTCAACACCCAACGCTAACGCAAGGCCTGGCGCTGCTGCTGGCAGCGGGTGGCTGCCGAGCCCCGACTCGGGCACGCACGCAGCCCTCGACACCGGTCTAGTTCCAGGACTGCAGTCGGCACCGAACCAAGGTGTTCCCTAAAGAACAGCTGAGCCAGAGGCATAAACCACAGCCCCCACCTGCTATTCACGCCCTCACCCTGGAGCACCTCCATCCGAGGAAGCACAAACCCATGCCCTCCCCCCCTCCAACACATGGCTACACGCCGTTTCCTTTGCCTTTATCAACTGAGCCACTCAACATGGGGAAAAAAAAAAAAAATCCATCTCAGCTGGTCACCTGAGTAAAGGGAACAGGCAGTTCGGCATCCTGCCTTTGTGCTTTCCCTTAAATTCTACACCGCACCGAGGCATAAGAGTTTTACTCAACTTTTACTTCGCTTACTGAACTGAACAAACTACCCAGCTCACTTCAGTTACTTTCCAATTTCAGAAATACCTAATTGCTCCAGTTTGACTGCAAAACTGCCCACACCTTACAGTCAGCCATGCTCACCCTCTGCAGGAGCTGCAGTTCCACAGTGCCGGGCAGTGACGCAGCTAGCGAATACCGAAGTTTCCAAACACAAAACTATACTTTCCTCCCCCTGTCTTGCCACAAACCAGCCCTCCTCCTGCTGCAATCGCCAACATTTCCATTATTACTCATCAGCTCCTATAAAATAAACTGCTGTGTGAGGAACTCCCAGATACACCCACCCTGTGTTCTGAAAGGCAGAGGAATCCCATGTTTCAGGACACACGAACGCTGAATGGCACACAAGCAATATTTATTAGACAGTAAATTCTGTAACTGATCACATACACACTGTGAACATTTTATTTTAAAAGGTCAACAGTTTCTCCTAAAAATGCCAATTTGATTTTGTAATATACATGTGAATAAAGACTGGCAGTAATGTTCACCTTTTCAACACTATCCTGCTCTAAACCTATGTATCCTTATTTCAAAATTATATTAAAAAAGTGATAAGCAAGGCTGTCCTCCTACTGCTAGTGTTTAGAAGCTGTTAAGTGCAGTGCTTAACCACTCCAGCAGTTAGCAAATGTTTTTGTATTTTGAATGCTTTAATTCCTAAAAGTCTGGCCTGACACCTCAGAACTGTACAGAGCACAGAGATACACTGGGCTTTTGATGAGCATGTGCCCCACCCCCAGGATTAGAACTATAAAACACTAGTTCTTCATAAAATGTTTTAACCACCTAACATCTTCTGAGCCTTGCACATCTCAGTTCCAAGGTCCTGTTGAATTTAGATTAATCTTGTTCTATGCAACCTTTACATAAGTGCCACATACAAGGTGTGCCAGGAGCAGAAACGAACCTGGGGTTTGTTTTGTCCCTCCCCATGTCCACAATTTCATTTTGCACTTACTGAGACAACTCTGAAACTAGGACTGTAATTATATTTGAAAAAGAACATAAAGGAAGGAATATTAAAAAAAAAAATTGCATACAGCCTTATCAGCAGAGCTGACACTACGCAAATTGCTTGATACAGTATTTTGCTCCATACCAGAGATGTAATTTGGCAAATTAAATATTTACCACAGCTCTATTTTGTTGCAACAGCTATTTAGAACAGTTTATCTTTCTACAACTAAGAAGATATGCCCATTTTTGTGTGCCCACACCTGTCTTTACCCTTAAGTAATTCATTTTAGTCAACACCATTTAAAGACATACCTGCTGCAATGACAGGATCCTTCATAAGCTCCCTTGTTATAGGACACAAAAACTCATCAGGGACAGTAACACGGGTCATTTTCATCCTCAGTTCTTCGATCTTCTGGAGGATTTTACTGCGCAGGCCTAGAGACTCTGAAAAGTTATTCGTACGTAAGTGGACAACACAGACACGCAAGGCAAAGAGGTCAGGTCTTGCACTGACTAGCAGCTGTGTTACAGCAGACACAGCTCCATCTCGCCACCCTCACCTAACACAGAAGAGCTGCAGACACCCCTGGCTGCCACAACCAGCTCAACTGCAGCAGGTCACTCCTGCTGGCTAGCAGTAACTTTGTGGAGTAATGAAAACAAGTCAAGCAAGTGCTAGTGCACAACTGCTGCAAAGACACGGCTACCTGGCAGGACAGCGTTTCAGTTGATGCATCATAGAACTGCACATGCTGCTGCACATGCAAAGCTAACTGTAGGTAAAACTGGGACAGAGTGGAAGACAGCAGTGTTTCTCCCTTGAAACTGGACCATATAAATAACAGCATGAAGGTACAAGAGTGCACAAGTGCCATCACCTCCAAACAGAACACTACCTAACACCAAAGCACCTGAGCGAGGACTCACTACCCTCGGACCAGGTTCGCCCTGCAGTTTGGCACAGGGTCATATTCATGTCATCATTACGGACATAAGTTTATCACAGATCAGTAGGGAGGCATTTAGATGTTGCTTGATCTCCCAAAAAGTCTAATTCCAGTAAGGCTGAGCACACAACATAAGGACTCTGCCATTGGTGCAGCATTACACAAAACAAGATGAGAAGGACGGTATTTACTCCACTTTCAGCCCTCTGTGTAACAGCTTGGGGGTTTAGCACCATGCCCAGGCACCTGGCAGCCTGGATTCCAGTGTGCCTCGGGCTGTGCAGCATCCAGTCCACCTCTCACTTCCCAAGCGTACACATCAACCACTATTCTAGTAGAATATCACACCAAGGAAAATTCACTGACACTGTAGCAGGATCACAAGACTCCATTAAGAGGTTCTGGTCCCTGTTCCTGACTCTCTTTGCACTGCATAACTGCAGAAAAACCACACGAAGTGGAACCATTTGCTCAAGTATAAGCTTACCAGCATATGTTTAATCTTCTACCTTTGACACAATTAGACTTGCACAGAGGTTCTGACACTTTGCATCCAGGCCTTTTGGGTTCTTGTGACTCTGTTACTGGAGATCCAGAACCACGTTCCTACTTCTTGAATTCAGGCCACCATTAATACATGCATTCACCACCACCGTAAGTGGTAACACTGGTATTCCTCTCCTGAGAAAAAGTGCATCACACTTATCACAGAATCACAGAATGTCAGGGGTGGGAAGGGACCTCGAAAGATCACCTAGTCCAAACCCCTGCCAGAACAGGTCACACAGGAACACGTCCAGGCAGGTTTTGAATGTTTCCAGAGGAGGAGACTCTACAACCTCCCCAGGCAGCCTGTTCCAGTGCTCTGGCACCCTCACAGGGAAGTTTTCCCTTATAATGTAAGGCATGGTGAATCACAAGTGATTTAAATTCTGCTCCAAAATGTTGTGTTCAAGCTTATTCTCACACACAGAGTTTCTTGATAAAGACGTGAAACAGGAAAGAACGTCCTCATACAAAAGAAGACGACAAAAACCCCATGTCTTTGATAGCACATTGCTGATGAAGAGCAGACAAAGTCAGCCTGATTAGAGATCTCAAAATTCAGTTCATATGCATATTCATCCTTGGTTTATGTTCTAAGGACACCCTGCAGTAAGTGAGGAAAGGGCTGAACTGTTTTTAAGAGTATCTGTTCTCTTTACATACCTACCCCAGATCAGGATAGAGTCACATGAAAAGAAGCCTTCTCAATGTGCTGCAGAAGAAGGGGAAGTATTTGGAATGCCTCCAACTTCCTTTACCATTTCTGGTATTACAGTACAAAATTGGCACTAACCCCTGAACTGAAGGTTTGGTTTTCAGAAAATTAGACCTAGTCTCACCTCCTGCCGATCTTCTGCAAGCAAAACGAAGTCAAAATTCACCTTACATTAACAAATTCAGTTAGCCCGACAGGAAGAAGAGCATGCAGGCATGGAACAACGTACCGCACCTTCTATTCTGAATTGGGAGAGGAAGTGTATTCCTTTTATCCTGACTCAACCCCATCACAGAATTGCAATGAATGAGTCGTTGTGTCTGTAAGAATGAGAAATCCTGAACTCTGTTGGATGTACACAAGCTTTTCAGACAAAATGTACATAACTGTCACTTTACTTTTGCTCAACACCTTACAGAGTTCAATACGGTGTTATTTATGTTATATGACAATTAGGCTGGAAAGAGGCTAGTTCCATTTGCATGGTAATGAAGCTTTCTTTCAAAAAGCTGTCAAAACAATCAAAGCAGCTAATGAAATGTCATGTGAACCACTTGCTGATCACTTTCTCTTAGATCAAACGCCTTCAAAGGCATGAGAATATCCTTTTTATTAAATGCAAATCAGAGCTGAAGCAAAGACTAACAGGACTAATAAAAAATAACAGAAGAAAAAGCTCCCATCCTATCGATCATCAACCAAAAAAGTCTAAAAAAAACTCCCTTTGCAAAGACTGTAAAAAACCTCAAGAGTTCTTTGGCAAGACTTTATGGAACTCGTAAATGTTGCATTTTTCAAGCAAAGAAAACAGGTTACCAAGGAGAGAAAGGACGTGCTCATTCAAGTACCTGTACAGCGACAGACTCGTAAAATTTAGTTAAACTGGAATCTGACTAACGCTGAAAAGCTGCTAAGTTTTAGGCAGACAGTATTTTCCTATTTCGTAAATGTGTGAGCCATGGCACACAGACAGCAATTCCTCAAGTCAAACATATCAGGCTGTGATTTCTATTCTGTGTCAATTACAGCTGTAGACTGATACTTAGAAGCAGAATCAGAAGCATTTACTTTCAATAGTATATCTCATTGTTTTGTTTTAAAAACCTCTTTCATATAACCATTAAAGCGGAACTCATTGCTTCACATCGTATATCTGCTGGTTCATGTTTGTGGAGTAGCTTATGTTTAAGAAAGCAAGTGATTTCAGTTAGAGTTTTAAAAAAAATTTCTTACAGCTGCCTGATACCTGTGAAAATCTGACTCCTACAATCTTATGATGGGTGTTAAAGTACCTACCGAAGAAAAAGTAAAAGACCAAAGTCTTGAGAACAGAGACTACTGAGCAATGAGCATTTTACCTGATAATGGGAAAGAACATACTGAAGCTACTTCAGCTCATGTGTACAATCAATCCTTACGGCATCCTTCTAGAGCAAATTAAAGAGCCAGAACGCAACAGCGTCCCAGAATCAGCCAGTATTCTACGTGCGCTCTGTCTAAAGCCACATCCACCCTTTGCCTCTTACAGCCTGCCTCACCATGGGCTCAGATTTTATTTTGTTATTTGAGTTTGACAGCATCATTACAAACCTATCAGGCAACACACGCCGTTGTTGGGTTTCCCCCCATCGAGAATGCTACACTCAGCAGGTCGGTTCTCATCATGCAATCCCCATATAACTTTCTGGTCAGCATTATCTGATTAGCCTCAGCAGGTGATTGCTGCAACAGAGCTTTAGGCTACTCCAATGTTCAAGAACACGTGTGCAGAAACTGATTAAGCCGAGTGTCTTTCAGGGATGACAATTTCTGACAGATTCCCAGCATCTCTGCTGATTTCTAGAATTCAACAAAGCTAGTCGATACACAGAGTGCCATGATGTGATATAGACTGGTACCACATACACACATGAAACAAAAAAGGAAGGGAGCAGTCTTCCTACAATGAAGAATACTAACTTTCAAAAATAAACCTGCACTTTTTAAAAGCTTTCTTAACTCATTCAGCCTTTTGCTATACTTGATCTCACTTTGGCAAACACACCAGCACCTAAGTTACACCTAAATCTAGCCATCAAAGTGATCAGAGAACTTATATCCAGAAAGTTCCAGTGCAGTTCACTATCCTTAAATTTCTTATTTCAGAACTACCACTGTGGAATCACTATTAATACGGCACTTCCTTGTGATTCTTCTAAAATGTAATCACAGTTTTGCAATAAAGTGACAAGATAATGTATTAACTAGGACACCTGACGAATTATAAAGTGTCTGAGCCAGGCAAGCTTTGTATGATCCTTACTAAAGGTCACCATCAAATGCTTCATCTCCAAAGTAAAAACTAAAACACACCCTCTGTTTTTCTATTACGGTAACAGCATACTGAAGAATTTCCCTGCTTAATTCAAGGTAGTTGACCATATAGTATTATAAACATGTCACTTTTGCAGACTGATAGGGAAAACTAGAGAGTACCCTATTTACCAAAGTCAGAATCATTAGGTCTACATAAAAGCTGAAATTCCTTTTCCACAGCTTAATGATACAAGATCTAAAAAGGAAAATAGAAACAAAAGCAGGTAAGACCACTTAACACAGCATGGTTGGTGGAAGCAACACACACACATACACCAAAAAAAAAAAAAAAAAAAAAAGATTCTGAATGCATTTCAGCCCCCCCCCCCCCCCCCCCCACGTAACTCCTAACTCGCTTTCATCCCAGCATATCACACGTACTCTAAAAGATTAAAAGCTATTTGGATTTCTGTACTCTTACCAATTTTTAATTCATTAGTCAGACTTTCTTTAGTAAGATTCAGTAGCTCCTTTCCATCAATGTTATTTGTTTTGAAAAGCCCAACGAAGTCTGTTAAGTCTTGTGCACAAAGCCAGGCTGAAACATCATCCTCTGACCAGTCCTCAACAGCCACCTTAGATTCATTTTCTACAATATTCCCTTTGGAAAGGAAAGATAAAAGACAGATTTAAAAAACCCACAAACAACACTCTCACTCCCTCCCCGCCTCCCCCCGAAAAACAAAACAAAACAAAACTCTCCAGTTCTAAGAACAAAGCCAGCAGTGAAAGCTGTTTGTCAAGTGTTCTCAGTACTACACATTCCCCAACATCTGATAAAAGAAATGCTTATTAGACATTACTTCAGTGGGGGGCAATAAGTTGGGTTTGTCCTTTACCTAAAATTTTTCAAAGTTTAGAGGAATTTAATCTCTCAGATGCCTACACTTCTGTCAAATCTGAACTAAAAGAAAAGCATCAGCAGACACTAAACCCAAGTCTCACACCTCCTTAGAAAAGCAGACCAAAGTCCAGACTTACTCTTGTGCTTTGAACAAAGATCTACGTACGTTTGTTCCACACATTTTAGGTGCTGCGATATTTTGTAAGATTAATTACCCTGGTTTTTTAACCTATAACAACCGGTAAGCTGCATTTCTTGCTGGCAATTATGCTTAAAATTAGCCTATTTTCTGTTTAACTCTTCACCAATGATACTTATCCAAAATGTTTTTCAGCATTCTGGGAATAATATTCATCTCTTAAATGCTGTCCAGAGAGTAAGAAACAGCAAATATCAGAAAAGAAGATATAGCAGATTAATAAAATTAAAATACTCCTACTATAGCTTTTCTTTAAAAAAACAAAGATAACACCTCTGTAGGACATTAATAAGATCAGTTCAGAGAAAAGATAAATAACGTGCACATAATCCTTAGGTTACAAACTAACTGCATGTAAGAAAAAGTGGGGTTTTGCACATCTTCTGAAGGTGTTCAACAGTGTTGTGCTTTAAATTTAGAGAACAGGTTACAAATACTGCACACACTAACCTGCACAGGGTTGCTTACAGTCAAACTGCCATATGTTCACAGTTTTATCCATTGAACCTGTGGCAAGTAAGGGACTACATGGTGCAAAAGCACAAGTTGTAACATACCTACAAATACAGATAAATGTGTGACAATTCACAAGAAAATTATTTCATTTCTTTTATTTATTAACAATAAAACAGGATAATCATACTGAATTCTCACCTGGTATGCTGAGACAAAGTATGAAGGGTATTGCCAGTACTCTGTAAAAGAAGATTTGTGATTTTAAATCCTAAAGAATAAGAAGAATGTTCATTCGTTTGTATACCTTCTTTCAAAACACGGAATAATATCGCTTCTTGGAAGACGACAGAAGTTACCTTCAGAGAAGTTACACAACCTTGCCAAAGCCGATCAGCAGCAGTCAGAAATGCAACTTGAATTTCCACTTGAAGCCCTCTGTTCAATTCACTGGAACACTGCTATCCTTCAACAACCAGCCAGCACGGACCTTTCAGCAGACCAGGGCCAGAAACACCAGCCACATTAATTACATCCATATTGGCTGGTTGCTCATGGGCATAAAAACATTTCTTCTGCCCATCTCGGATTAGACATGACCAGCAGTGAAGAGGTAACTGAAATTCAAATGGAATCCGTGCTACAGCCCTTCAATGGGGGCGGTAATTAACCCCACTTGTGGTTCTCCTAGGTGGCCACTAGATGCCAAAAAACAAATTCCTGAATTTCCGCATAGTTTTAACTTACGATTTGAAACATTTCCTTCTTACGACAGATACTATTGCTTTGACAGGTACAGACAGATTAGAAAGATGAAGAGCAAAGTCTTCTGAATCCCTAATTGATCGGTCAGCACTCCAGTTTTGAGCTGTCCATGATGAGGAAAGTTCCCTGTTTTAGGCTGAAATCTCTCTCCTTCCCATGAAGGTTTATTGTCCCTACTTCTCCTCAACAGCTATAAAAGTTACTGTCCCATTTGGTAAAAACCTAAGGCCACAAAAGGTGTCAAATAGTATTGAGAAATACTTACGCTGTAGTTTTCTGCTTCTTCCAGTTTCCTGGGGTTCCAAAAATCTAGGGAAGTTCTTATGTACCTGTCTAAGCTTCAAACTACTAAAATTATTGGGCCAAAAATTGGAAAGGTATCAAAACTTCAACCCTAATTGAAAAATTGTATTGGTACAATAGTATGTGTGGAGCAAGCTGGAGCAGCTTAAAATTCGTTCATCCTTCATTTTCAGAAAAATTATTATTATTTTTAATACTATAAAGTACTAAAGGTAAATACCACTTACGATGAACCACGAAGGATGTAAGAACAGTACTACAGAAAATCCCTAAACATATGTTTTAAAGAAAAGACATTGTATTTAACAAAAAATCTCTGGAATTCTTTATTATGCTTCTATTTTTTGCTCACTTTATATATAATTAACTAAAGAATTTCTATGATCACCATTCCCGATTTTATGTCAAAAGCTACAGTCTTTCTTGCTTTGGAAGCTAAGATAAATTTAGGATAACAAAGAATCCTTCTACTTCAATATGAAGGTAACATGTAAGTATGGAATTCATTGAATAATATGCTACTGTAGAGAAATAAAGTAACAAACCCATCAAAAAAATGTAAATAAAAAGTGTGAAAGTGTGATCAGTTCTCGAGACACATTTTTCCTCAAACTCCTCCCCACCCTCCCCAAATGCACAGTAAATATTTTAGGTTTATATAGGTTCTATTCTTTAGTATTTCTTTACGTTGATAAGACACTGCACAGAAGCAGTTGCTGATATTTAAAGACCACAATCCAATGAATAATGTTGCACTACACTATACTTACAGTTTCATATATGATGACACACTTGTCCACAGACCTTTTAAAAAAACACATCCCATTAAAATGATGCAGAAAGGAAAAAGGAAACAATCTTTAATTAAGGAGGAAGAAAAAACCCTTTTCCAAAAACAAAATAAGAGCCATCAGATTTCTTAACACCACTTCCTGAAAAGCTTAGGTATCTAATCCCCTCCACCCATGTCCACCATAAAACACCACCACTGATCAGCTGTTCCTCCAGGATGTAAAGAACAGTAGTTCAATACGTAAACCCTGCACTTCCATGAGAATTTCTGATGTAGAACATTTGCACAGTGCCCACACAAACTGGGCCCCTACTCCCACTGCTCCCCACTGTCTGCACCCTATCTACTTTATGTCTTTGCAAGCAGTACCTGTAAAGCAGATCCACAGAATCTGTCTATTCACAATCTATTCTAAGCACTTCTATTTATTTTTGAAACTTCTTCATCTGCAAAGCAAGCTAGAGGAAGAAGTGCAATGCAACGCATAAAATACAGTGGTGCAATGCAACCAATACATAAAATATTTAATGAAATACAAATTGCACAGCTATTTACCATGACAGCAGTGTTTCCTGAAAGACTTATGGGATAGACATTTCACTTCTGACAATTTAAGCAAAAACAATAATCCGTACATCTAATGGAAAATAACCCTAGATCACAAACATTCGTAACCATCTTCAAACACTGAAAAAGACTCCCTTAAAAAGAATACAAAGCAAAATGTCAAAGCAAGTTATTGTCTCTGGGGGTTTGTATAGCTTTAAATTTATTTGCTGGCTCCTGTAGTCTTTTTTCTTTGCAAGACATCAGTTTTCCTGTTTCAGTTTAGAAAGTCTTTGTAAAAAAGACAATTAGAGTTGAACCATTTTATTTGCTATTTCAAGTTGTCACTTAGACAAGCGATTAAGCACTGTTTTAGAAGTGATCAAGCACTTTTCATGAAAAGTGCAGAATAAAAGCATACAGTCATTAATATTCATAAAAACATAAATGATTACATCTACCTTATTCATAATCTCCTCTTTCAACAGCTTGATCCCTAAGGAAAGTCAATGGTAACCAGCTGCCAGTTTATCTTTGTGTTGCTGATCACCAACAACCATTTGAGCCTGACGGTCCCATCATTTTTCCACACAACTTACCGTCCACGTTTCTGATCTGCATCTCCCCAATTTGGCTATAAGACTACACTGGGAGACCATGTCAAAAGCCTCGCTGAAGTTGGGGTGTAACATGCACGCTGCTCTCCCCGTGTTCACACAGCCAGC